TGGATTTTGGCTTCAGCCTGGCCCAGACTTGGTTGTCGACAGCATTTAGGGAGTGAACTGGCAGATAGATGACCTCTCTCTTCACTTCAAATGAAGTGAAAATAAATGAAATAAATGAATAAAATTTTTAAATTTGGGAAAACTGATAAAATCTAAGTTCTCTGGAAGAGGGTTAAGCTGCCACCTGTGACACCAGCATCCTGTATCAGGGTACTAGTTCAATTCCTGGTAGCTGGGAATTGCAATAAATCAATTAAGTGTCTTGTCTGGGAAAGCAGCAGTATATGGCCCAAGTACTTGGGTCCTTGCAAACCACATGGGAACGCCGCTGGCCACGACGGCCATTGGAGGGTGAACCAATGGCAATGGAAGACCTTTCTCTCTGTCTCTCTCTCTCACTGTCCACTCTGCCTGTCAAAAAAAAAAAAAAAAAAATCTGGGAGCTGGCACTGTGGCATAGCAGGTAAAGCTACTGCCTGTGACACCAGCATCCCATATGGGCACTGGTTTGAGTCCAGGCTGCTCCACTTCTGGTCCATCTCCATGCAAATGCGCCTGGGAAAGCAACAAAGGATGGCCCAAAATGCTTGGGCCCCTGCACCCACGTGGGAGACCAGGCTTTGGTCTGGCCCAGCTCAGACCACTGCAGCCATCTGGGGAGTGAACCAGCGGATGGAAGATTCATTCCTTCCTTCCTTCCTATCTCTCCCTCCCTCCCTCTCTACTTCTCTAACTCTGCTTTTCAAATAAAAAACCTTTTTAAAAAAAAAATTAAGATTTATAGATTAGATAACATTGTATCAACATTAATTTCCTTATTTTGATTTTATTGCTATTAAAATATCCTAGTGCTGGGGCCGGCGCTGTGGTGTAGCAGGTAAGGCTACCACCTGCAGTGCTGGCATCCGATATGGGTGCTGGTTCGAGTCCTGGCTGCTCCACTTCTGATCCAGCTCTCTGCTGCGGCCTGGGAAAACAGTAGAAGATGGCCCAACTCCGTGGGCCCCTGCACCCGGCACCCAGGTGGGAGACCTGGAAGAGGCTCCTGGCTCCTGGCTTCAGGTTGGCGAAGCTCCGGCCGTTGAGGCCATCTGGAGAGTGAACCAACGGAAGGAAGACCTCTCTCTCTCTTTCTCTCTCTGTCTCTGTCTCTCCTCTCTCTGTGTAACTCTGCCTTTCAAATAAATAAATCTATTAAAAAAATTAAAATATCCTAGTGCTAAAAACATTCCATTGGTTAACAGATGGCATGTCTGCAACTTACTGGCAAAACATTTAAGAAAATCATACAAAAGATGGGAGGATGAAGGAAATTGGTAAAATGTTAATATTTAGGGAATCCGGGTAAAAGCGACAGCTCTTTGTGTGACACAGTGCATTCGATGCTGTTATCAGAGAACTGTTTTGAGTCCCAGCTGCTCCACTTTGAATTCAACTCCCTGCAAATGCACCTAAGAAAGCAGTGGAAGATGGACCTCAGGCTTAGACCCCTGCCACCCACATGGGAGACCAGGAAGGAGTTCCAGGCTCCTTGCCATTTTGGCAGTGAACCAGAGGATGAAAAATCTCTTTATCTGTCTCTCCCTCTTTCTTTCAAATAAATAAATTTTAAAAAAGCACTAGCAATAATTCTCAGTAAAAATATTATGGTCTTCCTTTTTCTGCAAATTTCAAAAACAAAATTTAACAGTAGAAAACCTGTTCAAGGCCGGCGCCGCGGCTCACTAGGCTAATCCTCCGCCTAGCGGCGCCGGCACACCGGGTTCTAGTCCCGGTCGGGGCGCCGGATTCTGTCCCGGTTGCCCCTCTTCCAGGCCAGCCCTCTGCTGTGGCCCGGGAGTGCAGTGGAGGATGGCCCAGGTGCTTGGGCCCTGCACCCCATGGGAGACCAGGAAAAGCACCTGGCTCCTGGCTCCTGCCATCGGATCAGCGCAGTGCACCGGCCGCATCGCGCTGGCCGTGGCGGCCATTGGAGGGTGAACCAACGGCAAAGGAAGACCTTTCTCTCTGTCTCTCTCTCTCACTGTCCACTCTGCCTGTCAAAAAAAAAAAAAAAAAAAGAAAAGAAAACCTGTTCAAGATGCTTTAAAACGGAACCCAAATTCTCTCAATAAACAGCATTGGTAGTGCTTTGAGATTTGAGAAACACAACATGGGGTACCAGCATTGTGGCATAACAGGTAAAGCCACAGGCTGCAACACCATCATCCCATATGGGTGCCAGTTCAAATCTCAGCTGCTCCACTTCTGCTCCAGCTCCCTGCACCCACATGGGAGACCAGGATGAAGCTCCAGACTCCTGGCTTCCATTTGCAGCCATCTGGGGAGTGAACCAGGAGATGGAAGTACTCTAACTCTGCCTTTCAAATAAAAAATACACAGCATGGTTTCTCAAGATTTTAAGATTATTTTGGGGCCGACACTGTGGCATAGGTTAAGCCTCCGCCTGCAATGCCAGCATCCCATACGGAGGCTGGTTCCTGGTCCCGGCTGCTCCTCTTCCCATCTAGCTCTCTGCTAATGGACTGGGAAAGCAGAAGATGGCCCAAGTGCTTGGGCCCCTGCATGCACATGGGAGACTGGAAGAAGCTCCTGACTCCGGATCTGCCCAGCTCCAGCTGTTCCAGCCATCTGGGGAGTGACCATAGGATGGAAGACCTTTCTTTCTGTCTTCCTGTCTGTAATTCTCTCTCTCAAATAAATATTTTTAATTACTTTTTGATAATTACTTTTGCTTCCAAGCCTATAAAATAATGCATTTTTCTTCAAATTACCTGTAAGTAAGAAACACAAATTCCTAATTTGTGAACAAAAATCTAACATAACTTGAAAATCCCAAATTCCTGACAGGCAGGAAGTAGTTATCCCATGTTAACATGGACTAATTTCATTTAAAAAAAAATATATATTCATGGGGCTGGCACTGTGGTGACATGGATTAAGCCACTGGTTCAAGTCTTGGCTGCTCCACTTCCCATCTAGCTCCCCGCTAACTTCCTGAGAAAAGCAGCACAGGATCACCCAAGTACTTTGGCCCCTGCCACTCATGTGGGAGACCTAAATGAAGCCCCAGGCTCCTGGCTTCTGCCTGGCCCAGCCCTGGTCATTGTAGACATCTGGGGAGTGAACCAGCTGGTACAAGATCGATCTCCTTCCCCTCCTCTCTGTAACTCTTTCACATAAATAAATTTTTAAAAAATACACATACATATATATATATATATACACATATATACACACACACAGCCTCATTACAATTGAATAAAAAGAGAGACAATAAAAACATTTTCTTCCTAAATTCTCTTGGTACCATACGCTGCAAAAGAAACAGAAAAAAATAAAAAATAAAAATCAAACCTCACTAACCTCACTTTTGCAACCAAAAAAAGGGGAAATGTGGTAACCCCAAGATGATGATTTGATAAAGAAAAAAGATCAGCCTTTAATTTGTCAACAAAAGGGTCTTCATCATATAATTTCATTTAATCTCTCAGATCGCCTGGTGTACATTTATTATTTTCTTTTGACCAATGAAGAAGTTAACGTGTCCAGTGAGTGCGGATGGTAAGGTTCCACTATCCTGAGATTAACAATTCAGCAGCTGTTTTCACTGCACCTCAGTGCCTTTCTAGTAGTAACACATCAATGAGAAATAAAAGGAACTTTCTAATGATTAATCGACTTTATCTATAAAAGTCTGTTCAGTGTACACTGAAAGGAATGTTAAAGAATCTGGATTTGGCTCCTGCTTTTCACTGAAAATTCTTCAACAACAAATAGGAAGTAACACAAACTACAGGCTACCTTATTTGCACATGCCACCAAGGCTTTTACATGTCTTTAAGTAACGCCCAACTTCAATTCCTGAGGTGGATATTGCTGTGGTCCTCATTTTACAGAAGGAAACCAAAGCTTTATGCAAAATGCAATGAATCTTTTTTTACATGTATATTTTTACATGTATATTTCAATGGTGTATGAAGTTAAATGAATTAAAACAGTATATTACCTATTTGAATAGTATCGAGCTGCCAAGCAAATGCCCTTACAGGCCTCTGAATGGTTTTGAAAACAACCCTTAGAAAATTAAAGCTTCAAAAAGACAATGGGAAGATCGTTTCCACACTACTACCGACTACCCAGCAACGGCAGACGGCATTCCACGCCAGCAGGGGACTGGAGCGAGAGAGGCCCAATCTCTTCCCTCCTGTTGGTCTGTCCCACTCTGCCCAGAACCAAAGTGACATTTGCGTGGCCACAGAAGCCCGCGTTACATAACTTCAAAATAATCTTCACACTCCTAGATCTATTTCGAAATACGTGTTCAAAAAGCGCTACTGCAAATCGAAAAGACGGAGGAAAAGAAGTGGAAGTCGGGTTCCTGCATCGCCCAACGCGCGAAGGGGACAGGCAGGACGGCAACCTGCTACCTGCGAGCCGGGAGGGGGCTGAGACGGTGGGCAGGAGCTAAACCCGCGGAGGGGTGGGGCCCGGCTCCCTAGACCAGAGGAAGAGACAGAATCCGTTGGCGGGTGGCTAAAAAGGGTGGGTGCAGGCCGGCTTCCACGGCAGAAGCTGGGGCCAGCCGCTGCGTCCCGGGCCCGGAAAATCTACCGCGGGCTGGCTAAGGCGGCGGCCTCCGGAAAGGGCTCCCCAGAGGCAGACCGGTCGTTGCGTGGCTGGCGTGGAGCCCAGGGAGGGGGCCGAGGCGATCCACGCCAAGGCGGAACGTGGAAGCGAAAGGAAAACCGGCCACAATGCAAGGAGGGAAAACTCGGCCAGCCGGTCCGGCCTCCGCGGGATCCCTCCGGGGCCCGAGGTTTCCGAAGCCTCAGGAAACCCAAGAAATCCGAGCCTCGTGCCCGTCCCCTCCCCCACCTGACCCCCCCCTCACCCCTACTCCACCCCGGCCCTTTCGCAGCCACCCCGGCTTTCCCTCCTCCCCCAAGTGAGGTACCCGGTCTCCCGGTTTCCACACGCGTTCGGAGGCGTGAACTCACCCGCCGCTGAGAAAACGGAACTGTTCTCGCAGCCTTCTAGGCTCCGGGTTACGAGTGGACTCCACCGGTTCGAGAAATCTGGACGCCGCTCGTCAGGAAGACTGGTTCCCAAAAGCCTACTCGCACAGGCCGCAAACACAGCCGCGCTGCGCGGGGAGCTCCTGGAGGTCTTCCTCTTGCCCGGCGTGCAATGCGGCCGGAGGCGTGGTGCGGAGGACCATAGAGAAGAGCGGAGCTAGAGGGTACTCGTGTTGGCTCGGACTCACCAGGCCGAGACGGAATCACCATAGAGAAGCAGCGCCTCGTGGGGACTAGAAAGGCTCCAGCTGCGAATGACGACCCACTCTGCCATTTTTGATTGGAGCTGATTGAATCTTATGACTACGCGACGCCATCTTGAGGTCAAGGTTCTGGCTGGGCACGGCGCGAGGGTTGTTAGCGGATTTCTCCCTTTTTCAGGGATTAGAATTTTACCCTGCGGTTCAGTGAGGTTCTATAGACGGATAGCGGGGTCCGACCTAAAACCCCAGGAGAAACCCCAAGTGCTCATTTTTCCCATTAAAAACAACTACTTTGATACCAAGAAATAACTGGCAACCGCTGAATTGGTTTTTTAAAAAGTGAAAACACACACTTAAAGCTGAGGTGCGATAATAGGGCCGAAGAGGTAGCTGGGCAGATGTTTGCAATACTTAAAAAGGCCTGTAAGAGTATTCAACACAGCTTTCCTTCTGTGATGCAAACTTACCAGGAAGTACTGAGCTTGCAAAGGTAATGGAAGTTAATGGAAAATGGTCATGAGTGATTATTCACTTCGTGGATTTTATACACAGTCACTATTAGTAGTGCTTTGTTTCCCAACTGCTCGCTTCTCCAAAGGCTCACGAATCCACTCTAAAGTCATTGCCTGCCTGAGTGCCTGGTATTTATAGAGGTAAAGGGGAAAGAGACCCTTTCCTTTCAGGGAACAACTGCGGGCCACGTGGAATTAATGACAAACCCTGATCTCCATACATAAAATTCAAACATTATTACACATTCTGTCTGCTTGTCTTAATTTTATTCTATAGCACTTACCTTCTGTACCATTTTTCTTATTTATTCTTGTTTATTTTGTATCCATCTTCCTCCTCCCCACAATAAACGTAAGGAGTGCGTGAATGGTCTGTTTTATCCACTGCTGCCACCTCAGTACCTAGATTCTAGAGCAACGCTCCATACCAACTTGGTGCTCAATATATTAGTTGAGTGAAAGAAATAATTACCATATAGTGAGGAGTGACAGAATACAATGCAGTAGAAGCATTAATGGGAAAGTTTATATCTAACTTTACTACTGTCTGTAAAATTTGCTTTCATATGTATTTCCTTATCATTAAATAAGGTTAATAGTATCCACTCCCAAAGGCTATGGCAAATATTAAATTATTGTGTGTGAAAGTACTTTGTTCAGCAAAGTGCTAATCAAATGCTATTCACATTTTGTAAGTAAAGTTTGTGCTTTTTTAAAAATTTTTATCACAAGCATAACCACACTAAGCCTCTCTGGTTATGCTCTGATTTTGTGTTGTTGGAAACAATGTGCATAAATTCATGGACTTCTTGTGTAGTCAAATAAAACCTTACAGACAAGTCATAGATAACAACTTGCCAGCTTTCCCATATTCCACATAGTTTAGTTTACCAAGCATTCTTTCCCCTAGGCTTTAGTAAGGATCCTGCAAATTCCTTAAAAGAAAACGTCCTTCCACTACTCTAGATCCATGTAGCTGGCATGGGAAGTCTCAGCTCTAGCCAGATGCCCTAGGACACGGGTCTAGCTAGAACTCTTACCTGATCAAAGCCTGGTAATTTAACTTTCATAATGGACCAGGCAATATTTTTAAAGTATTTTGCAAATATCAACTACTTTAGTCCTTAAAACAACCACCTGTAGTAGGCACTGTTGTGACACAGATGGAGAAATTAAGGCTTGGAGAAGATAACTTGCCAAAAGTTATGTAAATAGTAAGTGAGCCTCCACAGTTTCCTGGGTTCATGCTCTCAGCCATTACACTGTCCTTGACCCTTCAGGAAGAATGCTGGAAAGAAAGGACGAGACTGTATCTTTCACTTCACTTGAACTCAGGAGGATTTCAGGTTGGAATTTCTGGGGATAAGAATGGACCCTTTGATCAATTTTTTTAAAGATTTATTTACTTGAAAGGTAGTTATGAGAGAGGAGAAACAGAGAGAGAGAGAGATCTTTCATCTGCTGGTTCCCACCCCCACAGGGCCACAACAGCCAAGGGTAGGCCAGACCAAAGCCAAAAGTTTCATCTAGGACTCTCATGTGGGTGCAGGGGCCCAAGGACTTGGACTATCTTCCCCTGCTTTCTCAGGCACATCAGCAGGGAGCTGGATTGGAAATGGAGCAGTGGAGACTCAAACCCAGCACCTGCATAGGATGCTGGTGTTGCAGGCAGCAGCTCAGCCTGCTTCACCACAACCCCCATCCCTGAACAGAATCTAAAGATGGCTGCCAGATGGCAGCCTCCTGACTGAAGAAAAGATGTGGAGTGGACGACTGTATCGCAGCCTAAGTTAGCATGATGTTGAATCCAATTCTGAAGATTAAGCCACATTCTAAAGCTCTGGGCTTAACTTACATGGTGATAAAGAAGATGGGACCATTAGAAAAATAAAAATCTCAAGATTTCCCAACACATGAACCAAAAACAGAAAGAGGCACAAGTAAATGTGCATGAAAAGCATCCTCTGGAATGCTCTCAAATGTGTGCAATAAATTTCAAGAATTGCATGAAAAAATATTATTTAAAAAAAGATTTACTTGTTTATTTGAAATGCAGAATTAAAGACATTGGGAAACACAGATGTTCCATTCACTGGTTCACACCCGAAATGCCCACAACAACCATGGTTGGGCTGTGCCAAGCCAGGAGCCTGGAATTGTTTTCAGGTCTCCAATGTGGGTGGCAGAGTTCCAGGCACTCCGGCCATCTTCTGCTGCTTTCCTGGGCATATTAGCAGAGAGCTGGATCTTTTTTTTTTTTTTTTTTCTACAGGCAGAGTGGACAGTGAGAGAGAGAGACAGAGAGAAAGGTCTTCCTTTTCCGTTGGTTCACTTCCCAAATGGCCGCTGCAGCCTGCACACCGCGCTGATCCGAAGCCAGGAGCCAGGTGCTTTTCCTGGTCTCCCATGAGGTGTAGGGCCCAAGGACTTGGGCCATCCTCCACTGCACTCCTGGGCCACAGCAGAGAGCTGGCTTGGAAGAGGGGCAACCGGGACAGAATCCAGCACCCCAACCGGGACTAGAACCCGGTGTGCCAGCACCACAGGCGGAGGATTAGCCTGTTGAGCCGTGGCGCTGGCCAGAGAGTTGGATCTTAAGTAGAGCAGCCAGGACTCAAACTGGCACCCATATGGAATACCAGCATCACAGGTGGCTCAACCCACTACAGCACAATGCTAGCCCTGTAAAAAACAAAACAATTCTTAACTAAAAGCCTCAACTTCAAGATTCAGAGGGGAAGAAAGAAAAATGCTGCAGAAAACATAAATTGAAGAATGGAAAGGCAATCTGATAGTTAACAGTTCTTAAGTGAAAACAAGTAGAAAGAGCTTATTCAGTGTTTCAGAGTCAGTGGTAGCTCTGAACTCTTTGTTCAAAAGAAAAAAAAGGGTGGGGGGAGCCCGCGTTGTGCTGTAGTAGGTTAACCTCCGCCTACGGTGCTGACATCCCATATGGGCGCTCTCGTCCTGGCTGCTCCTCTTCCAATCCAGCTCTGTGCTATGGCCAGGGAAAGCAGTGGAAGATGGCCCACGCAGGAGAGCTCCTGGCTCCTGGCTTCAGATAAGCGCAGCTCCAGTTGTTGCAGCCATCTGGGGAGTGAACCAGTGGATGGAAGACCTCTCTCTCTCTCCCCTCTTTCTGTCTGTAATTCTGCCTCCCAAATAAATAAATAAATAAACCTTAAAAAATGATCTTGAGAAGAGAATCAATCATGCTGTGAAGGAGCAAAATATTGAGAAGATTGAGGAACTCAGCAAGCAGCCATCTACACCAGAGCTTGCTGTGAAAATGGTGGAAACAGCTGTCTACCACCACTTTGCAAATGTCTATAGGGAAGCTAGAAGCTCACAGATGGCCTGGAATGAAGAATCCTGCATGGGGATTTGAAGCACAGGAGATGGGAACCCCAAAGCATGTGGGCAATTGCCTGGCACAGTACCTTCCAGACGCTTGCACGCTCACATGCTCCATTTGCTGGAAAGATTTCCTGCTGTGTTACCTCTGTCAGGAAGCTGATAGAAGTAAAAACAAAGCATACATTTCAGCAGTTGAGTATCAGTTCTTCTCAGTATTTCTCTAAGGATCTCATCCTATTAAAGTGAAGTTTTCTGTTGTTGGTATAAGAAATATTAGCCCACTAAAGGGGGAAAAGGATTTTGTTTATTTTTATAGACTTACATTACAAAATCAAATGTTTTTCACTCCTTTGATAGAGCAGAGCCTGTGAGCTCCTTGTACTTTCATTTGTTCTTTTGTTTTGAATTTATTTTAGAGGCAGAGGGAGACAGATTGAAAGAGCTCCATCCTCTGGTTCACTCCCCGAATGCCCACACTGGACCCAGGCTAGTCTCTCACTTGGGTGGAGGGAACCCAGTCACTCGAGCAATCACTACTACTTCCCAGGGTCTGCATTGGCAGGAAGCTGGACTCAGGAACTGGAGTTGGGAATTGAACCCAGAAACTCTGATGTGGGATAAAGATGTCTTACTTGGCATCTTAACCGCTAGGCTAATCACCTGCCTTGCCTGTATATATATGTGTGTGTGTGTATGATTATATGTGTGTATATTATATATATATAGGCATATAGTCACTTCCTCTTTCACCCAATACTGTTACTTGTTCTTTGTTAACTTTAGAAGATCTAACACAACAATGTATGTGTCTGCTACAATTGCACAAATATTGTTAATGATGTTGTATCAGTCCTTTGCAATTCACGTAAAGTCTAAATCTTCCTAACGGAATAGTCTGAATTGGAGTTTTAGGCAAAGATGTGAAGAAAAGAAACAAATTGGTATCTGCCTGTTTAACAGTATTATGTGATGGGCATTCTGCTCAAGTACTTAAGCCACCACTTGGGACATCTGCATCCCATATCAGAGTACTTGGG